ATTTTTTTACTTTACTTTTTTAATTCAAGAATATTATATTATACAAATTATACTTAATAATATTGTAAATATCTATACACACACAGACGTAAGCCTATATCTGTAGATTTTTAATAATTCTTTTTAATAGTTTTATATTTACTTATGTAGGGTGGTTATTTATTATGCATTTATACTATTCGTATTATTTTTTATATAATAGGTGAGTATATAATATATGTAACTACTTTATATATACATACATAACATACATACATATATAACAAAGGCTATATTTTTTATGTATGTAAGTACTTCATAAAAACTAACTTGATAGTTTTGCACAAATATTTCTATTATATTTATATAATATTATTTCAAATTTGTAATATACGAATAAGTATATATAACCATTATATAGTTATATTTAAATTATTTTATATAACAAACCTAGCAAAAAATCTTCAATATGTGAATAAGAGCCTGGACTGACTAAATGTAAGTATTTTTCAGCCTAATTTAATTGCTGAAAAACATATTAGAGAATGTGTTGCGGTTTTTATATTTTTTATATTTAATTGTTTGTCGCTAATATTGAAGCTATGTATGTAAATATATTTTAGTTTGTGTAATATCTGTCAAATATACATATGTATGAACTTTTCTAAACATATACAAACATGGATATCTTCATATTAAAAATATGTACATATATTTATACAATTTATATAACACTATTTGTGACACTTTTATACGCATATTATTCCAAAAAAATCACATTATTTTTCAGAGCTATATTTTTTTTAAAGAATAATAAAAGAAAATAGCAAGCAACCAAGAAAAAAATTTTTTTTCCCCAGAAGATCCACTTACAGCAGTAACACCACTTTTTCTTTTCTATCTTTCTTAAAGTTATTCTTCACTACTTCACTAATATTTTTTTTCTTATATTTTACACCTTACGAGCACAAAAATATTGAAATCTTTTTTAATATTTTAATAGACGCACATATCACCTTAAATTTAAATTTTTTTTTATAATTTTATTTGCAAAAAACAATTTCAAAAACTTTAATTTTATTCACTTTTTTTTAAATTTCATTTCAGAATTTTATTTTATTTATTATTTTGCTTTTTTACCGTTTTGAAAAATCGATTTTTAGCAAGAAAATATGAAACAAAAAACATAAAATAAATATGAGACAAGGAAAATTTTCTTTTGTTTTATTTTTCCTTTTTTCTTATGTTTTGGAAAAATCTTTCAGATTTTCAACAATTTTTCTTTGACACGAACAACAACGAACGATTTCATGATGTCTTATAACTTTGAATCTCGAACTAACACTGAATAGTAAACTGCTGAAATGAATGACTCTGAGAATTTGAGATTGTGTCTCTCAATTAGCAATATATGTAACATTAATAAAAAAAAATTTACCGAGTCGCCGCTTCTACGGCATTGCTCAATTCAATTTTGGTTTATCTATTAAATTTCTTACAATAAGTATTTTTGTACATTTGTGTGTATCGATGATTATTTTTTGATATTTATATAAAAATGTACATATGAATATGTATATTTGTGTATTTTTTCATAAAATAATATTGATAAATTTGCAAAATAGCATAAAGAGAGCTAAATTTTATTGCTTAATGGTAGTTTCGAATTTTGATTTTTTGTGTGAAAATAAGCCCTCTTTCTTAATACTTAGCGAATATAAGGTACACAAAACATTAACTTTAGCTCTTTTAATAATAATTTCCAATTATACAAATGCACATAACATATCCATCGCATTATATACAAAAAATATCGTAAAAATATAAGTTATTGAGAAAAAAACACAGGTGTTTAAGTATTGTTATCTTTTTTGTATTTATTAATTTTTTTTTTCAAGTGTTCCTATTACTTCTTTTATTTTAACACAAATACTTGTTTAAAATTTCTCAAAAAATATTTATGCATATTGTATTTAAACATGTGTGTGTTTTTCCAATTTGAAAGGCGCATGTGCCAAAACTGGTTTAAATTTGTTTTTGTGTAGTTTTGACATTTCCAATTGGAAACATGCGTATTGTGCAAAAAACACGTTATTTTGTTTTCGTTTCTTTTTTTTATAGTAAAAAGAAAAAATGTAAGTAGCAAATAAAAAGAAAATTTAACAACTATAAAATGACGTCCAAAAAATATGGTTGCACAACAGCCGGTAACAAAATAAACGAAATGTCTCACTCTTGTCTCCTTCTGTTGTCAAACGAAATTGTGATTGAGCTTAAAATGTTGGTAGCATTTGTCATGTTGAGCATCTTGATTATAAGACATCTAGTGTCAATATTGTATATTTCATGTTAAGTTGATAATTATTTTCCTTTAAGATTGAAAACTCTATAGCATTTTTTGAATAGAAAATGATAATTGTAAGTTTGAGTCAAAGCAATATATTAAAGATTCCCTTTTCATAATTACTTACATTTTTATGGTTCGCGTCATATTCAATTTTTATTTAAATAATTTTGACATTTCTCTCGAAATAATTTTTTTCGCTTTGCGAACCATAATTTCAATATTATGGCCTCAAATAGAGGCCATAGTTTCAATATTTGAATTTTATTTATTTTTCAGTAAATATTTCTACAAAAGAGTTAAAAATTTATTTATTTATTCTTAGGTTATTCAAAAGTAGGCGTCACGCGACAAAAATTAAAAATTAACTAACTTTAATTTCAATAAGAAATAAACAGAAAATAAAAAAATATGCGAAAAAAAAGAAACATAAATTTATTGTAAAAGTACAAAATTAATTTTCCTTTTCCTTATATATCCATGTAACATATGTTTTGTAAACGAGGATGTAAAATCATTAAGTCACATGGCGTACGAACACATAGAAAACTTCCATAAAATTAAAATGCAAGTAAAAGATTTGTTAGTTTGTAAGATTACATTTTATTTGTTATTTTACCATTTTTAGCCAAAATAAAGATCAACTCATCAACATTGCACGTCATCAGATGTTTCCGACATCTGGAACCGACTTTCATCTGTTGCCACAACAAGAGAGAGTGTCTTAAAGTATTTTGCGTCCTTAAAAATAGAAGACATTTTAGATAAGGGTGTAGTTGCTCTGGAAAGTTGTACAACATCACCAGTACCACAGCTACCACATTGGAAGAATAATATTGATGTGGATGTTGCATTTGATGTTGATGCTATGGAACCATTAGGAGCAAATGCTGCTCTTCGCCAACGTCTAATTGACAATGAACGCAGTTTTGGTAATATAATTGGACGAATTGAAAAATTTTTTTTCAATTCTAAGTAAGCTTGTATTTCAAAATCTATAAGTACCACACGAGGTTATTATATAAAATTTTTTATAATATTAAAAAACTTCCTGTAGGTGTCTCGCATATTATTTGAGCTGAAAAAGCGAGCGCGGAACAACACGAAACGTCCTATCTGCCAACCATATTTTATTTTGCCTCATTTTTTCCAACAAAAATGTGGCAAAATGAAATATTTTTTCTCGATTTTGCAAAATATGATCATTCGATTTTCAGCCGACTTACTTGAGTCATAAATAATATGCTGTATCATAACTTCAGGTATGCCACCCGTATTACAGTCTTTGAAAACTTCCCTTGAAAGACATTGTTGTAAAGCCGATTTCGATTGCATATTCGCAAAACTTCGTTGGATAAACTTTGTTTAATACCTGCAAAAGCTGATCAAAATATTTGCATTATTCATAATTTATTATAATGTTTACAGTTTTTGTAAAATATGCTTACAGCTTTTAGATATCCTACATTCGCAGCGATGGCTTGTTTCATTCTAGCCACTGCTTGTCGCGCTTCCCTCTTATTTTTGTCGATTGAGTTATGGGTGTGCTGTTACTTTGCCGTCTTTTTCAACTTTAAGGAATGGTTTGCAATAAAATTTTTGCTTTTCTCTGCACCGACAAGCTGTGTAAAATTTTAATGAGCTATTTAGTAAAATCAAACGTGGATTTCATGAAAGAGACTCAATTGTATAAATGTATATTGTTATTATAAACAATAATTATGAAGTACATGTAATATTGTATATATGAATGTTAAGCAAAATTTTTATGAAAATAAGAATTTTTTCACGATTTCACGAAAAAATTTGCTTTTATTACCTTTTTGATTTAATGATTATTAGCTTTTTGATGTATATGTTCATAATCATTATTTTCTAACAGCTTTCCTTTGGTAATAAATCCTTCTTTCACAACCTGACTTATAATGAAAATTGCCTCGAATGAAAGTTTAAAAAAAAAACATAATTATTAAGGTACTAAAAATATTATTTTTTAAATTATTTTTTTAAATAATAAAATTAACAGTTTATAGAAATAATGTTTGTTGTTTGGAATTCCACTTTTATTTCAAATTTTACTTTTAAGCAACTCTTATAACTTTGAGCAATGTCATTAAACTAAAATTTTTAGACATTAAAATGAAATTATTGATTATTGATTGGTAATTGAGTATAGATTGAGCAGTATAGGAAAGGATGATTACATAAAAAAATATATATGTTGTTTGTGCAATGTGCTCTTTTATTATTTTATTTTAATTATAAATAAGATATTATAGAAGAAAATTATAAATAATATATAATAGAGCTAAAAGTAAAATTGGTAACCTACAGTTTTAAGGTATAGTTCTGTATCATTTTTATTTCCCTATTGTGCTTTACATATTCGCCACTAGGATCGCATTAAGTAATATTTTATACCAGAACTATTGACATTTTCCTTATCGTAAAAATATATGACATGCCATGAATTATGTTTACGTTTGATTTGCGTTTGATAATAATCGCAAGCGCTTTTTTGTACATCTATTCAATTATTTGTGGAAATATATATACATATATAGTAGATTAAAATTTTCTATATAAGTGCTTTAAGGATGGCAACACTATGTAGATTTCACAAAAAAAAATATTTTCTTGTCATAAAATTGTTGAAAAAGAATCAGTTAGTGCGAAATAAGTGAATGGTTAAATTGTGCGTAGTTAAAGTAGCAAGGGAAAAAATATCTATTTAACATACATACATACATTAATGCATATAACAATATTTAAATTTTGTTTATACAATAAATATTCATAATTGAAATAAATACATATAAAACACTATAGAATCGAAAAAAAATTTAATAAGAAATATTTAAAATTAAAATTAATTTATGTATAAAATCAAACAATTCAAATAAAGTAAAACGTAAATAATTATATTTTATTGGAAAAATTTTCTAAACAAAAGAAAAAAAATTACCTTAAATCTGCAAAATATGCAGACAGATTGAAGAAAAAAACAACAAGCTAAACGAAAACAAAAAGATTAAAAACAGTGGCATGATATTATTTATTTTTTAAGTATACCTACATTTATACAAAAAAAAAAACAAAGTTTGCAGAAATAGAACGACCAAAACAAAACAAGAAATTAACCAAACCAAACATAAAAACGAAGAACAAGAACGAAAGATAATGTATGTATTCATACATATTTATTCCATTTTAATTCTGCAAGTCTGAAAATACGAAAATTCTGCAAAATATTTTTTTAAAGAAAAGAATTGAATATTAGAACGAGATAGGTATATAGTGCAATTTTTTTTTCAAATACACACACACGTTTATAAATATTAATAGAAAACATCTGTATACTATTGTATAGATTGCTGCTAGTTTGTATGTATATTTATAAGTTTTGCAGAATATCATACACCCATTCACACACATTAAAATTAAATTTAATTCTTTGAATAATATTGTGTTGTGTTACATTTTTTCGTTCGCTTTAGTAGAGAGAAGACAAAGTGCGTTTTGGTTTTAGACGTCATATTTTTTAATTGAACAAAAAGTAAAAAAAATAATAAATAGCTAAAATATATTTAATTTATAATTTTAAGATTTAATGCAATTATTATTTTAGTTTAAAAAATTTAATTTTTATTTTAAATTAAAAAAAAAAACTACGTTTAATTGTAAAGTGATATTAAAAAAATCAATTCTAAGGTTTTTGGTTTTTTAAAACAATTTTTATGTAGGTTAATTTTATTTATTTAACAAATGTAAAGTAATCAAAAAATAAAAACAAAGTGTTTTTGTTAAGTAAAAATTATATTATTATTTGAAATAGTTTTAAAAATTTGGATATTACAAGCAATCACAAAAAATTAATGAAGGGCAGAAAAGTTCATATGAAAAGAAACAAAGGAACAACAACAAAACCATACTAAAAACGGCTGGTAGTCTCAACTCAACAACAAAGTGAAAAAGCTGATCGATTTTTATTTTTCATTCTGTTTTACTTTTTTTTATTCTTTTTATTTTTATTTTTACTTGTTTTGCTTTGAATTGTGTTTTTTTCATTATTATTTTCTTGCAAGAGAAGACAACAAACACTTTAATAATTGAAAGTAGAAACGGTAGAAAAAAACAGCAAGAATACTAGGAATAAAGAGTTCACTTTTAATTTTGTTTTGTTCTCGATTTCGAAAAAATAAAACAAAAAGTAAAAAATTGTGTTCTGCAAATAAAAATAGTTTTTTTACGAAAATATTAATACAAATATTTTGTATAGCTTTTGGAATTGTTTTTCAACAAAAAACATAGGGGACACTTAAAGAAAATTATGACGCAATAATTGTAACTTTTATGTAAAAAACTTTCGATACGAACAGCCAAAGCTAAAAAAACAAAATTGTGAGAATAAAAAAAATATTGAATTTTATTTTTGATTCCTGTTTTGATTAAAAGAAAAACAAACAACAACAACAATAACATATACAGCGCGATAAAATTATAAATTTCATTATCCAAAAAAAAAAAAAAATTGTGTGTGCAGAAAATCAGCAAACATTTTATTTGAATAAAATTTTTTTTGAATTTTAAAAAGCAAATTTATTTAGAATTAAAGAGCCTTTCCATTTTCGTCAGATCATCTGACGAATGGTGATTTTTTATCAAGGATATGTGTAGTGGTTTCGAAATTTCTAAATGTAAGTATTTAATCTTAACACTCAAAATTGCACTCACATACACGTACATATAAACATATATATATTAAAAGTAAACATGCATATGTTATTATTCTCCTCTATATTATATATGGATATATATAGGTACATATTGGTCATTTGCTGCAACAGTGACATAACTCAAAAAAAATACGCTTTCTAAGTTATACAGAAAAAAGAACTTAAAACATTTCTTCATTTTTGTAGAAAAAAGCTTACAATAAATCATTAAATAATGAATTCACTCGTAGAGTTTTACAAATTACGAATATAATTATGATGTAGGTTTTTGACTGATCACAACCAGCAATGACGGTATTATTTTTTGGAGAGTCAAAAGTAGGTATTTTATTCCAACTGTCAAAGTTTATTCATATTTTTTTTTGCTCTTTGAGTAAACAACTTCCATACATATGTATTTTTAAAAAGCGGAATTTTCATTTTTTGAATATTTTTGAAATATGGCAAAAAAATAGCAATACTCGTATGAGTTCAATTTACTTCAGTACAACTACCAGTACTTGAGAAAGACAAAAAAGATGAAAACTCTAAACTAACTCTTATTGGAAAAATGAAATATTCATTAGAAAAACTGAGAATTTTACTGAGAACGTAATTGAGAATTTCAGGGCTACGAACGCAATTCACCACAAACTCTAAACTTAAAAATACGGTTTTGTCAAATATGCAAACTTTGAGTTATTTTAGTGTTGCAGTCAACGAACGATGCATGTACATGTATGTAAATATATCAGCAAAATATAAAATTGTAAAATTGTGCATTAGGTTGCAAATAAAATAATTTTATAAGTGTAAAATTCAAATTTTAGTTATGTAATACATACACGCTTTGTTTTCTTTCGTTAGAATAAACTACTTATTAGTATTTATTAAAAGTCGGTAATTTTCAATTAAAAAATTTTTGAAAAGTTTCCAAATTTATTATACATTACATTATGTAGGTATGAGTTTTTCGCATGAAAATGATCTTAATAAAAATTATATTGTTTACATTTTACGGTAATGTTAACATATACCACAAAATCTACGTTTAAATCTACGTTAAAGCCTGATGACTGCTTAGATATCAAACTGCAATTATATAATAGAACTATAGCTTAATAATTTTGCAGAAAGAATTCTAACCAAAATAAAAATCAGCTGATCGCCGCTTTAAACTTTCACAAAATATTAATTCTCCCCATTTTACTGTTAAAAAATCGAATAGAAAATAGGGAAATTTCTATTACTTCCCATCAGAAAAAGCCTAATGTGAAAAAGTATTTGCAAATACGACTTTCATCAGATTCAGATTAAATCTTATATTTTTCGCATAGGTATTTAAATGGTAACTAATATTTGGGATTTTTGTTCTCCAATATTATGTACATATGTACGTATTTTTCAGTTAAAATATTTTTTCTTATTTACGAGTATATATAAACTTACAATTGTATTGATTATTTTGTTTTGCCAAATTATTTTTATTTACTTTGTTGTTTATTCTATGAATCATTTTTTGAAAAAGAAAACAAACATATACAGAAAGAAAATTATATACATATTGTTATTTTAAACATATACAGAGAAGATACTTCTGCACATTGAATTTTATATGCTCGTCAATATTCCCAATATTTTCTAATACTATTGCGTTATACACATATACTATATAACTGAGAATTGTATAGATATACACTGTATCTATACAATTATATGTATTTATTATTGTTTGTGAAATTGTCAAAGAATATATGATTTTTTATTTATAAACTGAAATCATACACAAATGCAATATTTATTTCTAATATTTTAAGGGAAAACAAAGCGAATTACAAAAATAAAATTACACTCTGGTTTATTTCAGCTAGTTTATTTTAAAATTATGTAAATAACTTTTTTAAACCACCATTATTAGGTTTGGGGAAACGCCTTAAAAGCTTCTGATTTTTTTTGTATTCTCAGCTTGTTATGAGTTGAATGTATATAAACAAATGTATGAATAATATGATAGTTCTTATTTTACAAGTACTCGTATGTACATACATATAGCTTTTCAATCTGCATTTCTAAGTCACAAATTATTTTTTTTATTGAATTAGTCTTCCTAATATCGCAAATGTCTTAGGGACGTCTCGTACACAATGTCTTATTTTCAAAACCGTCAAATGAAAGCCCGAAAAGCTTTCGACATTGTCGCACGATCAAAATTCGTTTTACAATGTATTCGCGTATCCAGAATTTTTTAAATACAATTTTAATTTTTTGAACGTGGGCTGCTTTTAAAAGGTTAGAATTAACACAAAGTGCTAAAACAGTACTTCTTTTGGCACAAATTGTATTGCTTTTGTAAAATAATGCTAAATTAAGCAGAACATCATTGTGAAATTGCGAAATAGTTTTTTTATTTTTCAAAACAAGTGTTTTTTTTAGAAAAATTAAATGACTGAAAATTTCTAAGTAATCAAAAACCAAAAACCAAAAAAGAATACCAAATAAACCAAATTGTTTCTATTCCCTCATAAAATTTAAATCCAGTACTTCATGAACGAATGATATTGCTTCTGCTAGGTATGCATTACAGCACATTAAAACTAAGTGATAGATAACTACAGTCGTTTAATCAGCTAAGTATTCGGTGAGAATCCTTTGTGAAATTAACACACAGTCTTCGAAGAAAATAAATAAAATACGAGGAAAAATAGAGTTGACCTTGTCAACTCTGTGATACCCGTACGAATTTCTTATCCTATGTACGAATAAATATGCCATAACTGACTATGGGACAGACTATGACTTTAAGTTGCCGTATTGCCATATTAATTTATGCTAAATTTCAGTGCTGTGTTTTCAATATTATCTAAAAAATGGCCAAACTATTACTGAAGTTGTATGGGAGCTACCAGAAGGAGCCAAGAGATTTCAACGACTTTTATCAAACATATTGGCCCTACTAATACATATATTCGCTTGTGTGAAATTTCAATACCATAGCTTCTATAGTTTCTGAGATATAGCCAAATAACTTTTGAAATTGTATGGCAGGTACCAAAAGGAGCCAAGTAATTTCAACGACTTTTATCAGACACATTAGCCCTACTAATATATTCGTTTGTGTGAAATTTCAATACCATAGCTATTATAGTTTCTGAGATATATCCAAATAACTTTTGAAGTTGTATGGCAGGTATCAGAAGGAGCCAAGTAATTTTAACGACTTTTATCAAACACATTGACCCTACCAATATATTCTTTTGTGCGAAATTTCAATACCGCAGCTTTTATAGTTTCTGAGATATAGCCAAATAAATTTTTAAGTTGTATACTGGCACTTACTACAACAAATCATTTGTGAAAATTTGGTGAGCTTAGCTCAATTAGTTTTTGAGTTATCGTTGGGACAAAGCTAAATCAACTCAGAATTCGACGCTGATCAAAAACATACACTTGAGTCTATATCTAAGACCGTTATTTCTTAGCGTTACAAACGGTAAGGCAAATTTAGTATACGCTTCGAACATACGTTCGTACGGGTATAATGACTGTTGGAATATATTTTAACGTCCCTGGATTGGAGTGTATCATTTTGTCTTAATTAACCCATCATAGAATTTAAATTCTTTCATAGACATTACATTCATATTCTTTACATTCATAGACATTACATTCATGTTACATGTATTTTTATATCTCTTTTCTTTTACAAACAACAACCTTGTTTTTGAAAATAGATGAAATTCATTTTAGCAGAAACAGAAAAATAATTTGGAATTTAAAAACCTACACCGAAAAAGACAACATTTTTGATTTTCGTTATATGAAATTCATTATATCCTACATTTATTTTCACATAAAGAGCTGGTTTTTTTGAAAGTGGTATAAGTCCATTTTTGCATATATTGAGATATTTCAGATTTTGCATTTGAATCAATTTAAAAATATTGACCATAATAACATATTTTGTTTGTTTTATGTTTAAGCAGAACTCTATTGAAATTGTGATTGTAACTGTGGAGATAAGGTGTCTAAAGATCATCAAAATCACCATTAACTTAGTCTTTTTAAAAAGTGGACTTATACCACTTTCAAAAAAACCAACTCAAATATTGTAGATTTTTTCAAAATTTTACGTTAAATTATGAAAGCATAAAAATAAAAAAGTTACTGGCTTTAAAAAAGTGACTTAAAGTGTAACAACACAATTACAATTTTTCATTATTTATATAATTATATGTAAGTACTTATGTACTTTCATATGTGCATACATATGATGAAGAAGAGGTATCACTAAAGTTCAGTCATTGGATTGCATTTGGTCATTGAGAGAAGAAGAGATATTAAAAAAAATATAACAATCTATACAGAAAAAATTAAATTACTGCAATATTTCGAAATATATATTGCTTATACGCATAACTTATAAACTATGGAATGTAACAACAAAAATTATTTATAAACGCGAGCGCAAAATCAATTTCAATGTTAAACTTGAAATGTGATGTTTTCGAACTAGATAAGTACTTGTTTAAAATTAAATTTAAAGAAAATTTTTCAAACTTTTTGGAATTCAGATTAAAATTGAAACAATTGCACGAAATACATGCAATTGGACGTGACAAAATATTATTTTTAAGTTATTAAACAGGCGAATAATTTTTTCGAAGCTTTAAAAAAATTTCATTAGTTGCAGTACGAGTATAATGTAAAGCTCTTTATTTTTTTGGAATATTTTATGTTACCATATTTCATGTCTTATAGTTATTTACCTTAAGCAAAATATATGTCACATTGCCACAAAAACTTCTTTTTTATTGTCAGCAATAACCCTTTCTCTAATTTGCATGCATGCACTAGATACTGCAGTAATTTTGAAATGAGAAAAAGTCTGCTCGAAAGCTAAAGGTCGATGCACCGATGTACCGAAACTCGAAAAAAAAATTAATTTAAAGAAAAAAACAGGATGGTACAAATAGGAGGAAACG